ATCAAACTGTATACGTTTATCCGAGTCGAATAACGAATTTCGGGGAAAAGAAATTCCGGTTTCCGAGTTTGTCGAGAATCTAATCAAACTTTTCGTATAGCGAACGCAATTATAATATAAAACCCTGCGTTCAGAATTGTTTTCCGTTTGTAACCAGTCTGTCGTTGCGTACCGGAATAAAACAAATACTTATAAATCTTCCGTTTCAACTTTCACCCGTAAAACAGTGGCACAACCGTCGGCAGTGTCGGCCGTTTGTTTTCTTTTTCCGTTCCGGGACGAGTGCGAGTCCGGGTCGCATTCACTGCCGAAAAAGTTTATTTACAGTGACAGAGACGAAAATCCCCCGGCGAGATCCCTCGATAACGTAACGGTGAATAAATAAAAATAAAAAAATAAAAATATCTCCGACAGACAAAAACGGTGGATAAAAACTGCCCAGAAAGAGAGTACGGAACAGAGCTTTTACTCGGTCCGCCCCTCCCCTCCCCCCCGACCGACCGTACACCCCCGTATCCATTATTTAATTGAAATCCATATCGGATGAACGTTGTTTATGGGACCCGTGCAACACTACGGCGTCGGCGGCGTCGTCTGCGCGGCTCTCGCGATTTTTAATTAACCCGCCGCGTAGTCCGCGCGCGCGTTCCCGTCGTCCGGTGCCCCGGCTTATTTGTAAACGTAGTAGAAAACCGGAAGTTTATTTAAACTTCACCCCTCCCGCCGCGGCGCCGTCGCCGTACCGCCAAAGACGTTCGAAAACTCGCGGGGAAAACGCGGCGTCGTCTTGGCCGTCCTTATGTACCCGACCCGGGCGCCCGGGCGAAGCCGCGGAAGCAGCGGTCGGGAAGACGAAGGCGGCGGCGGCGGCGGCTCGCTGAACGCCTAAAAATTGATATCAAAATCGTTTAGATGGCACACGTGTCAATCGTTTCCCGCAGTAATGGATTTCGGGGGCCATCGCATAGTAACCGCTGCGCACACTGAAAATTCGATAAATCGCAAATTGACGGGGGTATTATTCCGAACCGATTCGGGCGTTGGAATTTCTGATTTCTGCCGAGCCATCGACGGGCCAATCTACTTTTTTAAATACGGGTAAAAAGACAGTGGCGAAACGATATCCAAACGCCGCGCTCCTTGTCGTCGCGTAAATCGCGCGCCGCCGCTCCCTCACTACTCAAACTCGAAAGCGAAATTATCACGTCAACGGGTTGACGCGAATCGAACATTTCAACGACCAAAACCAATCCGGACTTTATTTTCGGGACGTTTTTTAGGCGACCGTTCAACAACCAACATCACCGCCACCGACATCCAGACGGGCGTATTAGTTATGCGCGCCGGCTCGTTTGTTCGCACGACAAAACGATTAAAAACAAACGAAGTGTTCGGAGTCGCGTTTTCAATATTATACGCTTAGACCGGCATGCCGATCCGGGACCCGGCGAATCGGTATATAACAAACGTTATTCGATTTCACCGGGCGCCCGGGGTGTGAATCTCGGGAAAAACGCTCGGCGATTTAAAATCCCGTCACGACCGAAACGTGTTCCCGCCGACGTCCCATCGCCCGCCCGCGTCATCCTTCCCGGTACGCGTACGTCCGGGGCCGCCGATTCGGCGTGGCCGGGGCCGGGAGACGTGGAAAACGCCTTAAACTTCGCGTCGGTCCGCCCGTCGAAACTGACGCGATTTCGCCGGTCCGGAAACGTTTAACAGGTGGCGCCGAGACAGCAATTATTATTAAAAAAAAAATCCGTCCTACCCGCAGTAATGGCGGCGGCGTCGACGACACGTTCGCGTATTTTCTCCACCCGGTTTTCGTATTGATTCGTCTAACCACCGCCGTTTTCCATTTCTAAACAGCCAGCCGCGTCTCCGAGTTTACATTTTTTTTTTTTTGTATTTCATCCGCGGGTGCGTATCGCGTAAACTCATTCGGAACACCGTCGCCAGCAATTTCCGACGGCGGAACCGAACCGAAAAATATACGCCGGTTTCGACGTTATTTGTTCGCCCTTATGCCGTACCGTAATAATTTCGTTATAACATTTTACCGCCGATAATGGTTCGCGGCGAATTACGAAAATGTGCCGAAATGCCGAATCCGTTTATTCCGCGTATAAATAGTAATAATAGTATGTTAATCATCCGTGTCCCGCGGCATCACAGCTCTTCCAGAATTATTACGGACACCGTCACCGCAACCCATTTACACCGCTTTCTACCTCGTCGCGTTTGTGTACTCTCACCCTCTTTCTCTCTTAAAATTTCGATACGCTTAATGATATTATTTCTGGTCCGGTTCAACCATAATGTATACGGATTTTACATTAGATATCCGTTCGACCGACGTTCCCGTAGACGTCCTCCGGATAGGTCTTCGTCGCTAAACCGACGCCTATAGCACCACGTCGTCCGATTGTTTCAATCGTTCAGATTTTCTGTGGTGCGAACTAATGTTAAAACTAATGTTACGTTTTGTGCTCCGTGCACATGTTATGTCCCGGGTATTCCCGTTCTTCTTCTTAAGACGCGAAAACTTCAAATATACACAAGTCACAACTAGGGCTCGGAATCTGTTGCATTCGCATCTTTTTTTCTAATGTTTATATATTCGAGGTAAACGTGGAAAAAACGTAGGAAAACGGTAAAATCGGTGCATTACATCAACAACATTAAAGAAAATATAATAATTATATTATAATAATGAATATGTAATTACTTTTCCCATAATATGGAATGTGTACCGTTGGCATCACTATCAACCGAACTCCACTCAGAATCGTTTTTTCGTTAGCAATGGTTTATCGTCACTTACAGGTATTCATTAAATTACCTACAACAGCGGCTGCACACCCGTCCCCACTACTCTAGGACAGCTTTTTTATTTATTTTATCCATTAACTTCAACAATCGATTTCCCGTAATTTACAGATAATATAGTTACTGGTTTATACCAGTATACTATGGTCGTAGGACGTTTGCGTATCGCCATTGTTGTGAAATGACCTCTTTAAAGACCGTTTGCGCATTACTTTTGTTAGGTCGTTTACCAATCGTTTTTTGTAACAATGCCATTTTTTTTTTATAGACCGTTTGCACATCGTCATAAATGACGCGTTATATATACCGGTTATTATTTTAAAATAGAAAAGTTTTCGAAATAAGCGGTATACAATATCACAGGTAAAAAAAAAAAAAAAATAATTAAAAATTTACTAATAGTGTCTAAATTATATTTATATTTGTTTGGATCTGTAGCCCATTATTCCTAAAAAAAATTTGACGATTTGTGTATTCCACGTGTGTATTCAAAATAATTTTCACCCAAGAATTGTTTTTTTTTTTTTTTTTTAAATTCTTTGAATAGTAAACGGGTCATCTGTTTGACGTGAAATTTCCGCCACTTTATGTATGATTTCCATTTCTTCCATTTCTTTCAAGACTAGAAATACCACACCACAAACGTATAAAAAACTTTGACGAACTAGTGGAAACATTCGTTTCACATTTGTATTATATTTCTCGTCCAGCCGTGTCGCCGTGGTATGTACCCGTTACCTAGTTTAGGTAACATGGCTTTGTTAAATGTGACGTGCGCAAAAACGTCAGAGCCAATAATTTGATGATGCGCAAACGGCAAACGCCGGTTTATATTACGGCGGCAATTCCCCGATCGTTTTGTGTTCCTTATTTTTTTAAGGCCGAAACACAATATTGTAAACACCGTCGATTGACATTTCAATTTCCTCAAACCGTAACTCAACGACGACGACGACGACGACGACGACGACGACGACGACACGGCGCGGCGGCCGTACGATATTATAGCATAATAATAACATAAAATTTCAAACGAGAACGCAATAAATAACGAATACAATAATAACGTATAAAATGCCGTATTATTATGTAGAAAAAAAAAAAAGAACGTTTTTGTTAATAATTTATCGACGCCGGCCGTTTTTCACCACGGTTATCTCGGGTGGAAAGATTTACGTTTGAGTTCCGCGACGCGCGTTATTAAAATTATTAACGGGTAACGTTCGGAATCGATCGGTAGTCGTGTACGAACGGATCGTTTTTCGAACGTTGAAATTTTAAACGTATTTTTTTTTATTTTTTTTTTTTCGTAACGTGTTTCCGGCAAATTTTCGCCGCTTCGGAAATCGAAAATGCACCGCCAGGCTTAACAAAAGTGCTTAAAAATGTACAGAAGGTTCGTTAATAGAGTCTAAGAGTCGATTTTTAAATGCATCACTTTAAAGAGATCATTTTTCGATTTTCTCGAGTGTTCTGTGCAAACGTGAAAATCGGTACGATGTTAACAAATATTAATAAAAAAAATATCTAATGCTTATTTAATTATTTTACCATAGTAATACGGCACATAAATCATTGACAAAGAATCATTATAAACTCAACTCGGCTCAGAATCGTTTTTTCGCTATTAATCTTACAAATTAATTTCCCCTTTACATCCTACATTTCCAAATTCTCACCAACAATATTGGCCGCGCCCATCGTGCGAAGCATGTCGGACTTTTTTAAATTTTTTTTTTATTTCCCCGACCGTCTCGACCTTTGACGTCCGCCGTAGCTGTTTTGTTTTTCTTCGCGAAAAGGGTCAGCGAAATCGCGTTACACGGCAATCCGTCCGCGGTTTTCGGTTTATTTTTTTTAACCCCGTAACCGTTTTAGCGAAAACAATTTTTACGCATTATTTACCCTCGTAATAATAATAATAATAATAATAAAAGCTGTTTAACTAATTAACTTTTAACATGACAACTAATGCTAAAACTTTATCATAATTAAACGAGAACAACACAATAGTCTAACAGCGGTTAAAAAATTATAATAATAATTTCTTTTTTTTTTTTTTTTTTTATGAAAGAGCGAAAAAAAAAACCCGCGCGCGCGTCACGTATTATTATTTATTATCTGCCTATTAAACGATTGTATTCTGGTTTAATAGCCTCCTTCTCCCTCTCCCCCCGCGTTCACCCGTATTATTTGCTAATATATAATATTATTATTATTATTATTATTTATTATTTTTTTTTTTTTTTTTGAACTTTTGACCCGGCAAAAGGATATTACGACGTGACCTCATCGTCCGCGATGACCGGTACGAATATGACGGACACCTGCAGTTGTACCGCGCCAAAGGAAATCATTAATAACACGTCTGCGCGTATAGATTTTTTACAAGGAAAAACAAATATGCACCATATGTTTTGGATTCTGTGCGGAGCGAGATTGGTTTCACAGCGATGTCTGCAGTGTTTTTTTTTTTTTTTTTTTTTTTGTCGGAAATCGCGATGCAGTCGAACGTTGACAAACGACCTTTTTTGTCGCGTTTCCGATCTTGTCGGTGCGTTGTAGTAGAGGTCGTTTTTTTCATCTCGTTGTCTTTTCTCAACGAGCGGCAAAAACGCGCAGGAAAAACGAAACAGTGTATACGACTTCCTTTGTTTTTGTTTCTCGAGTTTTCGCGATAATTCAGTTAAAAAGACAATCGCAGACGTCTGAAAACTGCACAGTATTTTATCGACGTGGTAGAATTTTCGAAACGTCGCGGCCACTTTTCGTCTATCCGCAGACGTCTTAAATGTTCTTAAATGAATCGCGGCCGATCGCTGCAGTCGTGTATAGTGGACGATTCGGGCGGCGCTGCTGTTTTTCAACGTTCACAAATAAGACGCGATTTTCGGCGTCATTCGTTTCAAAGCATCGCGCAAAAAGAAACGCGTGACGTTATCGAATCGTAATTATTACGGCCTTTCAAAACATGTACACCCGAACTCCGCCGCTCAAAATCCTTTTTCGGTATCATCGCTTGATCTTTGTATACAGCTAAATACATTAATTCCCTCCTCTATACCTTTTCAACTTCTCAGAGAAACATGTCCGTTTGTTTTTATCATCGGAATCGCGTAAAAATCTCAACGCCATTCACTACGGTCCATTATAGTCCAGTCATTACACTAGTTACGACTATATCAGATTCGGTTTTACACGCGACGTAGCGTATAACACACACAAACAGACCTTGGAAATATGCGGGGGTATAGGATTTGTTTTTAAATTCCGAGTGGAGCGAAGAACTTTATTATTTTAAAAAAAAAAAATGTTTTTTTTTCTGTGGACAATTTTCTGAAAGAAAATTAATGTGGAGGGGTAGTGTATAGAGTTTTTTCGATTTTTTCCGGAGTTTTCTCAAGAAAAGTGAAAAATCGAAAAAAAAACTTACGGAAAACGGGAAAACGTAAGGAATGTAGGTATTGGTTAAAAATATTATGGCTTTTTTTTTTCCTCATCAATTTCGTTCCAAATCAAAACGGTAGCAATTTTTCTATTAGAAAATTTGACCTGGGAGGTATTTTATAGAGGTAATCGTTCGATTTTCTCAGAGGTTTTTTCATCAAATGTGAATGACCCAGAAAAAACACGGGAAAACCGGTACAACATTAAAAATATTTATATACTGTTGACAAAACATCATTATCAACTGAACTCCGTTCAGAATCGTTTTTTCGTCAGCAGCGGTGTATCGTTGTTTTATACGTGTACACTTAATTACCCGTAATTACTTGTAACAGTAGCCGCGCCCGATCCCATTATCCTAAAATGTCTTTTTTTTTTTTTTTTAGTAAATGTATGATTTATATTACTTGTTACCCCCCATATAGGCAATGTATATAGTTCATTTATTTTCTACGTTTTGCTATTGAAGAATACAGTGTTTTTTTTTTTTTTTTTTTTTAATAGTGTTACACACGGTGCAGTTTGTCCCTCCTGTTTTGCCTAGTTTTCGGCCCCGTCGTCGATTTTTCTGCACGTTTTTTTTTTCATTTCTGTACCGGGCGTTTTTCTCCGTCGGATCGGATGCCGACAGAACCGTTACCGCCGATATCTCGACACTATCGTTTATGCGCTACGTATCGGCCAGCCCCCCCCCCCGAATCGATAACAATAATAATAATAATAATACGTCGCGGCGATAATAACGATTCGGCGTTTACATTGACGGACGGCTTTTAGCGTATTTACAACCGGACGAGAATATCGTCATCATCGTTATATACACGCGTTTCGTTTACCGTCGCGCCGCGTTCCCCGGGCCCCGTCCACGGTCTTCGGACGATCCGAAATCGTTTATTTTCGCCGGTCAGCGCGCGCGCGCGCGTTATCATTTTGTTGTTGCGATTGCGATTGACTGCAGACGGCCAGCGAAAACGCGCAAACTCGTGTTTCGAACCGCGGTTATTACGGTGTCGTATTGTAACGTGCGTTAAATGCCGCGGCGAACGGATCGCGTGCCGACAGTGTTTTTAACAACGACCGCCGCGCGAATCGCGAGGAACGATACGTATCCCCGCCGTCCCGTACACAGACTTAACATTTAGGGACACTCGGCGTTGACATCGTCGACTCGTCACCGCTGTAATTACGGCGACCAGTCGAAAATGTCGCTTTAGATTATCGCCCAGTGTCCGTCCGTTAAATAACTCCGCGGAATCCTTTAATGCGGTTAGGATCGCGTTCGCGCGCCCCCACGTCGTTTTCGACATTTTATTGGACATTTTTTTTCAGCAATTTCAACGTTTATTACAATCGATACATATTATTTTACGGCTGTCCGCTTATTCTCCTCCCGACAACGGTCAAATTCGAATTTTCGAATTAATTCCAAAACGATCGCGGGCCCGTGGTGATTTTCGAGGTAATAGAAAACTATTAATTTCTATCGATTCGAATTTGCCGGGGAAAAAAAGGAAAGAGAAAAACAACTGATTATTTTTTTTGTTTTTTGGCGTACGGTTCCGAATCTCGAACACACTGCATATTTCGTTATCCCGCGTCGCGACCGCGGAAAACGGAATTCAAATCCGAAATCGTCCGGCCGAAATATCCAGCGTTTACTCGAAAACGCCAACACGCTCCGTGTATGGTGTATATGGGTTTTAAAACAAATAACTTCCGACGGTTTTCGTCGGTAAACAATGCACTGGATCCCCTGAAACACGGTTAATCAACGGTCTACCCGTAACAATATAATATTATACCGCAGTGTATTTAGGTATACGCGTATACAATAGGCGCCTGTATCGGGTTCATCGTTATAACATTCCGATAATGTGCACGTGCATTTTTCCCTTTTTTTCCGCTGTCGCTTACGTGGCGGTGGCCCCTTAAGGCCCTCGGGGCTCGGTCACCTCCGAAAAAAAAAAAAAAAAAAATACCGATTACAAATATAAATGTAAAAACGAAAATATTTACTACGATATTTTGCGTCCCCGCAGATATCCTATAATCGACGGCACTTCCCCGCGGGATACGTTAAAAGACACGGATTACCTATCGTCACGGGTTCGTTTTTTTTGTTTTTTGTTTTTTCCGGTCGGCCGTTCATTTTTGTCATTCTTCGGGCCGCCGCCGGTTCGGCGTAATTCCGTGGGCCTGTACGCGTGCGTCGATTGGTTCGTTTCACGTTGAATGTTACAAAATTTGTGCATCAGTTGCTGATAACAATATTCACGAGTTGGCCGTCCGGTGTCGTTCCCCCGGTCTGTTCGGACAGCTGACNATAACAGTATACACGCGTTGGCCGTTCGGTGTCGTTCCCCCGGTTGTTCGGACAGCTGATCGCGAACAGTGAATAACCAGTTAGACGATTGTGATAATCCCCGCACTAACTGGTTTGATGATGTTGTCGCCACTGCTGCCCGACGTCCCGGTCACCACCGAGTCCCACATCAAAACTACATAGGTAGTTACGATTCGACAGTGGGATTGATACAACATCGTAAGCCCAAACTGTCCGCGCCGAGTGGGTCTCAAAACAAAAAGAAAAACACACTTTTCTTTTTGTCATGATGTTCGGCGCCAACATGATGGGCTAGACGTACCGACTGTAGTCTGCGGTGGATCGCGAACGGAGGAGCCGTGCGACAACAACAACAACAGCAACAACAACAGTAATATCAGTCAGAATAACCAGCAACCCCCTAAAATTTACCGAATTAATAATATTTTTGTTTTTTTTTTATCTCAGCACTTTTCCTAATTTTGTTTTCCCCCTCTAGTCCATTTCTAGACCGTTCTAAAATTCACGTTACAAANCAACATGATGGGGGGCTAGACGTACCGACTGTGGTCTGCGGTGGATCGCGAACGGAGGAACCGTGCGACAACAACGACAACAACGACAACAGTAACAACAACAGTAATATCAGTCAGAATAACCAGAAACCCCCTTAAATTTACCGAATTTATAATATTTTTGTTTTCTTGGAGGGCATATATTTGTAAGAATACCTTGTCCGTTAACGGATAGATATACCGTATAGTATTCATCAATGGAAGTTCTTAATCCTGTCTCTCATAGATATCCGAACCGCTTGGGTTGAAGGATTCTGGGCTGAGTGATACTCCACTGAGGTACTGAGGATTGTTCCTAACTTGGCCATTCGACCCTATGCTTGTCAAAGCCCTGTATCCTAGGAATATAATCAAGATTATGGCACTTATGATGATTATAAACAAACCGTAGAATTGGATCGGCTGATTTACAATAAGGTGTAAGTGTCATTCGAAGTCCCCAGTTGTCCCTTGAATAAATAGATCCTTCAAGTTCTCCTTTATTTTAATTGCAGTGATCAAGTCAATTGACTCTGAACAAGCCAACCTAATTAAGGTTGAGACATTCTTGTTCAGTACCGACCCCTTAATATGCAATGAACCATTTTCCATCCTGATGCCACATATCGTACATGTGTCCCATACCAAAGGGTCATATATCTCTGTCTCATTCACTAATTCAAATAACTGATTGGAGTAATAAACGACCTTGCCATCCACCCTATAAGATTGGTGAACCCCAGGCCTCTGGGGATAAAATGTATTCCACTCGAGTATTAGGAATGTTAATATTTCCAGGTCGTCCTCCGACTGCTTCAATAACTCGCACCTATCGTTTGTCTTCAGCTCCTTGAGACCTGTTTTAATTTCCTCGTGTTGTGATGCGGTTATGTCAAAGGCGTAATTAAATTTTGTCCCACATTTGGCTAAAGACATTGGCGACACTACCGAGCTTGGGGCCAAAATTAATAAACCCAGGGATAATCCAACCCATGTCTTGTCACAGATCTCCAATTTACAGACTACTTTACTTCGAGCCAACCTTATATCTTTGTAATCTACATAATGCTCTGTGCCCTCCTTATGGATTATTATATCAGTTTTGGTCCACTTGATTGGACAATTTTTGGATTTCCCAGGGACTGATGGGAAAGTACCGACAAAGGTAGAATGTCTCAACTTATTTTTACATGTTATTATCCCGGAAGGACTGATGTCACAATCCAGGTTATGTGGGAATCCATGTATTGGGGAATAATGAATAAAATCCTGTTTGTCGATCTTGAACACCCGTGATTCACAGTTAACTGTCTTGGATAGCATATCCCTCTTGCAGGCCGGGTCAGGATGAGTTGGAATCCCTTCAGATACCTCCTGGAACGTAGATGACTCGATAATCTGGGACTTATGAGTTATCTCATCCGACATCCATAATGGGTTATTCACACAACACGTCTCAAACTGCATGAGAGTGGACGATGTCCCCATGATCTTCTTCTCCGAAAATACATCTGTTGTGTCTAAGTCAACAGTGGTGGAGGAGGGAGCAGAGGATGTTTGACTCAATTGTATTTCATTCATAGGACATATTATGTCCCTTGGAGCTAGTCTCGTCCACGGTGTCAAGACCTTTGTTGGTATAAGGCATAATCTTGACCCTGTGGATACTCTAATTATGAAGAGATACATGAGAGTGATGATGGTAACTACTTCACCGGTTTTCATGATTCTATGTGTCCCATACCAAAGGGTCATATATCTCTGTCTCATTCACTAATTCAAATAACTGATTGGAGTAATAAACGACCTTGCCATCCANGGTATAAGGCATAATCTTGACCCTGTGGATACTCTAATTATAAAGAGATACATGAGAGTGATGATGGTAACTACTTCACCGGTTTTCATGATTCTATAAGATTCAGTCGATGCGCAGGAGGTATCAGATAACAACAACAGTAATATCAGTCAGAATAACCAGAAACCCCCTAAAATTTACCGAATTTATAATATTTTTGTTTTTTTTTTTATTTTATCTCAGCACTTTTCCTACTTTTGTTTTCCCCCTCTAGTCCATTNGTAATATCAGTCAGGATAACCAAAAACCCCCTAAAATTTACCGAATTTATAATATTTTTGTTTTTTATTTATTTTATCTCAGCACTTTTCCTACTTTTGTTCTCCCCCTCTAGTCCATTTCTAGACCGTTCTAAAATTCACGTTACAAAATTATAATAAATATAAAATCATTGATGGACCGAGCTCTCTCTCTTTTTTTTTTTTCTGCCTTATTTAAAACTAAAACATGACCAACAAAAACCTACTGGTTCAGCCAACGCAACTTTGTTGTGTTTGGTCCGGCTTTTAGGTCACTGTTGAGTGTTCCCCCTCAACAGTGGGTAATTAGTAAGCCAACCGAGGTGGAGGCCGAAACCTTACANACCTACTAGTTCAGCCAACGCAACTTTGTTGTGTTTGGTCCGGCTTTTAGGTCACTGTTGAGTGTTCCCCCTCAACAGTGGGTAATGAGTAAGCCAACCGAGGTGGAGGCCGAAACCTTACAACGTGTAGAGCTTAAAACCGACACGGATATTCGAAACTAAACCGGTTCCGCGTGATAATGTATGGTGTACATAATATATTCGCATTGTGACAATAGTGCCGATCGGAATGCGATCACAGTGTTTTGTGCGGCGTTAACGAAATGGTGTTTACTAATTCACGAAGGACCGAACGAATTGAAAATCGAAAGTAGGTAGTTTTCAAAATTGTATTTAATATCGTCACGTCTGTACGTCCAAAGTCGGTTGATGGTGAAACGCAGAACGACTAGGTTCCAAAACGAAAATAATATATCGGGTGATGATATGTACAATTATAATACCGTCTTTGTCGTGTACACGGTAAATCTGTTCACCCGTCCGATCCAAATGTTTTACCACGGCCGACCCATCGAGTCTACTTCCTGACGCATAGCGCTCGTCCTTGACACATGCATTCGCGCAGTAGAAAACGTTCGTTCCGCAGACGACGGAATGATGACCGGAAACGCTGTTGTCAACACCGGGACCGTATAAACAGTGTACGGCCGTATAAACCCGGGTGATCGGGGGAAGGGAGGAGGGACGTGTTTCAACCCACTCGTACCCCGGTCCGAGGCTACGTTACCGGCGGACAGGTCGGGGGAGGGTTGGCGGTGGTGTTGTCTGTGTCTAATACGGACGACGACGATCCGAAAACCGTTCGGTAAACGTCATTAAAAAAAAAAAAAAAAAAACGATACGCGCGCGACGCCGTTGACGCGAACGCTAATGGAGCGGACAAAGGGACGGTTCGGGTGTACAATAATACCGACGACGTGACGCGGACGGTTCCGGGAGACGGTGCGAGTATTAAAAAAAGCCGCAGAGACGTCGGTCGGCCGCGGCGGTGCGGTATACGCGCATAATTCAATTAGAAAACGCGTCGTCGCCGCGGAAAGTGATTTTTTTTTTCCCCATTTTTCTACCCGCCTTTGGCCTGCCCGTCCGTAAAAATTTTCATTGACGTCGACTGATTCCGCACAGTCCCTTCCCGCACCCGTCCCGTCCTCGTTGTTATACGCATAACTAGTACACCTAGTGTACGCTTAAATCCTGCAGTTTCGCGTCTCAATCCGCGGGCCCGTCGTCCGGTTTAAAATCCGCCCGCTCCTTCTCAGCGTAGCAGTGTTCTACGCTACAATTATCTTAATTATTACTCGATATTGTACTTTGCGTTATGTCTTGTATCGCGATCCCGGAATCCATGCAGTGTCGGATACAGGTCTAGACAGCCACTCATTTCGAAATATCTCGTCTACAGGCGTCGCCCGTAGGACTGAGGCGAACTAGACCGTCTCCAGCCGTAGCTTTTCGAAAAAAAAAAAAAAAAAAAAACTTACAAATCGAAAGCGATTGTAAAGGAAATCGGGAGCGGAGCTGATTTCGGTATAGTTTCAGCGTATCGTGCATCTAGTATTCAAATACATCGAGTAAGTATCTGGTGTCTCGTATCTATATTGCAATACTTGTTACTTTAGTATCCATACGTATTCCAGAAACGCGTTCCCTTCAGAAACTGAAAACCAATTTACCGATTATCTAAACACCGATTTCGAACTATCTCGCCCGTACATGTAGCGCGAAGGCACTTAAATCCATTAACGGACGTACCGTCGGGTCTTTTCCGCCCTTTTTCCCGTGATCTTTACCTCCAGTAACCGATGCACACACGCGATAAATAATGCGCTGTCATCAGCTTTAACATTATAGTACCATCTTGGGGATTATTTTGAGGAAACTTTTGTTGAATTGGTTGATAAGGAGATATGTTTACAGAAGAAGGCATATCTGTTTTCAGAATAAGGCAGTTGAGAATAGAAACTGATAGGGGCGGCAAATTTAATTTAACATATGGGCGCCAAATTGTTAAATCCGCCACTGCGCAATACTATTAGAGAATTAGATGCATACTGCCTAGATTTTATTAGCTATGTTTTTTTTTTTTTTTAAAAAAAAAAGTATACGCTTTTTACAAGGAATATACTACAACCACAGTCACACAGTCACACCATCGTAATATTATGTATACCCAGATGTCGAATTTACACGAATTTACATTATTTGTATTCACGACCTACTATTTTTTTAAAAAATATTAAAAACCGAAATACCCGATAAACAAAAAAATATGGGATAAGTTGAGGGACACGTGCCCGCCTGGCGCTCATCTTCACTCTTTAGAGGAGGTTAAAGTCCCCGTTTCGCAATATCAAGATGTCGCCGCATACGTACAGTATAATATTTTGAAATCGACTTAATAACTTATCATGAAATCATCTCTTACCAATAGTTAGCTGGATAATCTAGTGGATAGGGATTAAGGTGAATTAGGTCAGGATATGTAGGGTGTTGGGTTCGAAATCCGACGGCGGTTGTCACAATATTCCGGTTGTCTTTTTTTTTTTCATTTTTGTTTTCCGTATTTTCCGCATTCGATTTTGTTTTACAAACACTATTTGCGATTCTTCGTATTTTAGAAACAAACGTCTCTAAAACGAGTGTGATTAAATTACAAATACGCGTAATTAACAGTGCCGGGGACATCGCATTAACGTAATGTTAACAAGCATCGCTATACAATTGTCATACGGATACGTTGAAATCGGACGTTTAAAAGACGTTGCGTGAGTGACGTAATTGCGGCCGAAATACGTACTTGAACGGAACACAAAACCGTGATTTAACATGTTTCAAAAGGACGTCTCTGCGACACATCCGAGACAAACGTCAAAAGCACGGTGCGCCACAGGAACACAGGAAGGAGTATCGTCCGTCGGTCCCCGCGTGTCCCTCGAAGGATTAAGTCCCTATCAGGGACCTAGAAATTTCTCGCGCAAAGGCGCACGAGACCTCTAAACGTTGTACAATTATCATGTCGCACTAGTTACCTTTCGAAACGAGCTTTGATCGAGTCGGAGCGTTACGGATTATGTTGGGTGTTTTTTTTCAAACTCTTTTTATCGTTTCGAACGGGCCGGTCGCCTTGACGCCGTAGTCCAGTCGAAACTCGTTGTGACGGGGTACGACTGTAGCGCCCTAAACCGTCGCCCGACCCCGGAAAACCGCGCCGAGGCCTGTCGCCTTTGCCGTGCACGCGGTATCGTTCCGTTGTTGTCGTTTCCGTTGTTTATACGCCCGTCCCTGGGCGCCCGCCGCCGCGATATCAGCCGCCCCGTTTACCGCGCGCCACTCTCGCGATGTCCAATCCAACGCGCTGCGTTCAATATCCACGCCGTGTGCCGTATTCGGTGGCGATAACGCGCCGCGGCCCGGCCGGCACCGTCGCGGAAACGTCACGCGTGGTGCGCGATACCCGCGGTGCTCGGCCCGCCGTGTCGTCCCGCAGTGGCCCCGCGGTCGGGAAACGACGGCGTTCCGCTCGTCCGTTTCCGACGCGATTTTTCGTCGGCGCCTACCGGTGTGGCCGGCGAAACGACGAGGCCGCGCCGCGCACGCGAC